AGTGCTAAGAAGGGGACTGGACTGCTGTTGGTTGTTTCTGGCAATACTGCAGGGATGGGGATCAAGAAATCTTCCTGGATAAAGTCACATTTAAGTTGAAGCTTGACTCAGCTGAAGCTGGGTGGAGGGAGAGGGAGAAGAGCATATCAAGAAAATGAGAGGAAAAAAAAAAAAAAAAGAAAATGAGAAAGCCTGTGCAAAGGCCCTGAGGTGGTAAGGCAAGTATGACTAGAGCACAGTTCAGGATGAGGCAGGAGAGGCAGACAGGGCCTGCCCCCCAGGGCCAGGCAGCATAGGCTTCTGGGATCTTGGGTTTTCCCCTGAAGACAATGAGATGCCTATGGGAATCACAAAGCCAAATGAGGGGCAGCCCAGCACTGTCAGATGAGGCACTGCTTCTGCTAAGGGCCCCTCTCCGCCAGATGCCTATGGGAAGGCTCCTCCTCTTCTCCCTCTTTGGCTGTGCTCCTCCTGTCCCTCAGGAGGACCGGCTGGTCTTAGAGACAGGCTGAGCGACATGGCCCCATACGTGGTTTCTCCCCCTTCCCGGGAATTGTCACTCCCAGTCTCTCCTGGGTGTCGGTGCCTCTTGCCACCTGTTTGTAAGTTTCCCGATATAGCCTGGCCGTTTCCTCCTCAAGCGGGGGCCAAGAGCCGCTCTCTGTTGCAATCTCAGTTTTCCCTGGGCTTAAAGGGACCACGTCAGCCCATCCCGTGCCAAATTTCAGCTCAAGGCAGGTTGATTGATTTAATATCACAAACTTCTCCAATCCAGAGATTATATGTCCTCTCTTTCCCCCCTCAGCTGACCATCTCTGCTCTACTCTTGTTCACTTTCTCCTTTCATGGTTTTTCTTCTTTCTTCTGAGAATGGGAGCAGCATCCCTACACACAGATGGGAGTTGTAGCTCTCCAGGCTTAGGTGCACTGTCATCTTCAGGGAGTCCTTCATCCTTGCTGGGCCTTAGTTTCTTCCTGTCTGTGAAGCTGGAACCATCAAACACCTCTCCAGGTGTTTTCACAGAGCTGTGTGCAGATGGATACAGCAGAGGGTATAAATAGTTGTGGAATGCATGCTGTTCATTCATTTATCCCACAAATACTATTATATGACACTGGCCTAGGCACTGAGGATACCACAGGGAACCAAACAGAGAGGGGTCCCTGTCTTTGTAGAGCCTGTGTGCCAGTGGGAGAGGTGGGCAATAAAATATATGTTGCATTACATTTGATATGAAGAACAAAGCAAAGAAGGGAGAGGCGAAACCCTGGGTGTGAGGGCTGTAACTTCAAACTTATGGTGGTCCAGGGGAGGTGCTATTTTCATCTTCCTCCATGAGATCCTGTCCAGGGTCTCACCCTAGTCTCATTGGCCTGTGTAACAGCAAACAGTAGGTGACTGTGGCTGCCCACTATCGGGAGTGAATTGTTGAGGTCTCTCTCACCCTTGGCTGCTCCTCCCCGCTGGACAGAGGAGCTGGAGGCACAAGGGACCCTCCCCACCACTAACCCGGCTTCCTGCTGGTGAGACTAAGGGATTAGCTAGTTTTTAAATTTGAGGGGATGCTTCTAACATGCACCAAGATTAAGAACCATTGGCTCTGAGCATGAGACTTGGCAGAAGACAGTTTGGATCCTGCTTCCGTGGTCAAGGTGCCTAACTCTCAGACCATCTGCTTCCTCTCCTGGACTCAAGCATAATCAGGGACTCATTTCACAGCGCTGTTGAAAGGCTAAAGTGAGCCCTTGGTGCTGTATGCATCTTTCACGGGGCTTTTAAACAGACAGGGCCCGGGCAGGATAGTGGGGGGGCCCGGAGCTAGAGTAGCCTGCGCTGGGAGGGACCAGGCAGGGTGAGACACCTGCATATGCATCACCTCCAGAGTCACAGTGCCCTAGTGCCCAGTACCTCAGAGTTAGCTTACACCCTAGAGAGTGTCTCACCCCTTGTGTCATTGACAGCTGGGGCAAAAAGGTCATAGGAAAGGAAGGGAGTTGCCCAGGGCCACTCGATGTGATAGAGTCTCCAGACAGTTCCGCCAGTCATTTGACAGAGATTAACAGAGCAAGCCCAGGTGCCAGGCACTGCTCCAGGTTCTGGGGATCCCTCAGAGAACAAAAGAGAGTAGACCCCTTCCCTCATGGAGTTTCCGTTTGGGCATGGGGAGAAAATCAAGAGAGGCAATACCTAAGTCACAAGGATGTTAGAGGGGATACATCTTATGGGGAAAAAGTCAACCAGGAAGAGAGGCTGTGGCGAGTGCAGGGGGCAATGTTGTTTTAAATGGGTGGTCAGGTAGGCCCCATTGGGTAACAGAGGGAAGCAGATTTGGAGGAAAAGTTTCCGGTGGTGGGAACAGCCCATGCAAAGGCCTGGGGAGAGCAGCTTGTTGGGTTGAGCCGACAAGTTTCCGGCCCATGGTTTCTGGTCCATGGTCAGTAGGCCCTGTTGCTTTTTAGGCCTGTGGCGAGGCAGCACATCATGGTGGGAGTCTGTGGTGGAGCAAAGCTGGGGAGAGAGAGAGAGAGGAGAGAGAGAGGAAGGTGCCAGGGGGGGCCACAGTCTCCAATGAGGACCCCCAAAGATCTGAAGATCCCCCTGCCCTCTTCAATGTTCCATGCTGGGGACCAAGCCTTCACAGATATTTGGGGGACCCTCAATCCAAACTACAGCAAAGGCATTTAGTTTTTGTAGCCAAGGGAATGGATCATTGTGTTTGTTTGTTTGTTTTCGGTACCGGGAATCAAACTCAGGACCTCAAGCTTGCTGAGCAGGCACTGTGCCACTGAGCCATATCCCTGGCCCTAGTGTCTGTTTAAAACAAAGGCTGAACGTTCTGTCTCTGTGCTGTTCTACCTGCTGGGGCAGAGAGAGCCAGCTTTCAGGGACTGCTGTGGGAGGAAGACGGAGACGGTGGAGCAGGGGCATGTGTGTGTGCGTGTGTGTGTGTGTGTGTGTGTGTGTGTGTGTTGAAAGGGGTGGGTGTGTGACATCTACCTCCAGGCTGACCTCTGTTTTAGGGGGTCGTTGGGGCATACAGGGCAGTGAAAAAACAACAGATGATGTAGCTATCCAGGGAAAATAGGGGCATGGCTGGCATGGAGCCCTGGGAGGAACCACACAGTAGGTTGGGGCAGCAGTGTGACGTCATTCTGCAGCTGGTTCATACACCTCAGGTGACCTCACGCTGGCAAGACTTTGTAGAATCACAGTATCAGATGCGTATCTTTTCTTTTAGTTTTTCAGAGATATTAGGGAATTTAAACCTCAAAAACCTCTAAGAGGTAGAAGGTAACTGTCATTCCTGACAGAGGAAGATGTTAAGGCACAGAGACGGTAAGCAGTTGCCCAAGGTCACACAGGTAGTGAGGTCAGAAGCAGTATTGGGAGTCTGTGCTCCTTTCCATGTTACCTCTTTACTCCCATGAGACCGAGTGGCCACTAACATACATGTCCTATTCCCGGAAGCTCAGGTACCTGTGTCCATGCAAGACCCGCACACATCACTGACCTGCATGCGCAAGGTCTTGTGTGGTCTCAGTTTCACTAACACCCACGACCTCACACACTCAGCTCATATACTTTGTGCTGTGAGGCTCAGGTGGCCCTGTGTGCTCAGAACCTCATGAACATCCATAATGTCTCCTTCACGGGACCGTGGGCACTCCCCTCCTGTACACATGCTGCACACTCATGATCTCATTCTGTCAAGACACGGACATGTATGCCTGCTGGAGTCTGTTACACATGTAATCATGCACCCTCTCACAATCTCATGCTTTCCAACACTCACACTACTGTGCAAATTCACTGTCTGACCTGTTCATGGTCTTGCACATTCACATCCCCCCACTTGTTTAGCTGTGCACGTCGACTTAACCTCAGGTAGTAAAAGCTCCTCGCCTGTTCACACCACTTTGCACTCTTTACCCTCTAATGGTTTTTCACTCTCATTCAGTTCTACCTCTCTTTGTATAACTGAGACCTCAAATGTTCTCGTAACTTTATGCTACTTCCTACTGCACCGTGCTCACGCGGTGCACAGACTGCCTCGCACACCCCCACACCCGCAGTCACGCTACCATCCAACCCTGTCTTGCTCACTCATGCTCTGGCAGTCACACACTTCAGTGTGACCCAAACTGTGCACACATGTTTAAATTCACGCCGTGCCTCGTCTGCTCAGGTGACTTTATACTTTAACACTCTGGCTCACACTTTTGGCTCCATCTTGCATACTTGTGACCTCAGCATGTTCCCCAGAAATATTCAGAGCCCTTGGCAAATTCCTTCTGGCTTGTCCACTCAAGTGCTGGCACAGCTCCTTAACCTCAGCCATTCCCAGAACCTCAATTACGCAGCTTCACACACTTACGACGGGACTCACAAGCTCCTTGCTTGCACACCTGTGACCCTGCCGCATTCTGGTCGTTAATAGTCACACCATCACACAGACTCCCCTGGCTCGCTCACTCTGCTCGTGTTCTCGCACACTCGTAACCTCAAGGACTCCATAACGCGTACTCTGCCACTCAGATGGCCTGGC